ATTATACGTTGAATGTACCGTGCTCTCTCGCGGCTGAAAGACGACGAAACAGATAGAAGAGCGTGGGCCGGGAAGATGAAGGAGGAAATACCCTCAAGGCTCGCGATTTTTTTGTCTCGATGCGCGCGCACGGGCACCTATATTTATTGTCCCGCTTGTTGAGGGTGTACGTACGCTTTATCACCGTAAGTCCGGATGTCTCGTGAGCTCCGGGTTGTCTTGTGACATGTACTGGTTATTGGTACAGGTGTCCTATAGGAAAAAATCCAAAAAAAAAAAAGAAAATTATCCATTCGAAAGATTTCGATCAGTGCCCTGCCCACGTATACACTTATTGTGGTAACGAGAACAACCGGCCGATAACTCAATCTATTAAAAGGTTATATTTTATATACATCGTGTAGGTGTGTGTATATAATATATGCGCAAAACAAACTTTATCCCGCACCACCACCAGCATCAACAACAGCAACAACAACATCAGTAACTACTCGTCGAACTATGAAGCCCTCCAACGTATACCCATGTATACATACATTCATAATGAAATGTCGCGTTTCAAAATGGCCTGCCACATCAAAACGCGGTTAATTACGCTTCAAAGCTTCCAACAAAACCTGAACATCTAGCCACTTTGCCGTGAAATATACCCGACGCTCGTATGCTTTATGTTGTGTGGCTGTACGACACGCGTACTTTAATACCGAAAAGCTCGATAAATTAGCTCGAATGATAAATAAAAAAATAAAATAAAATAAATAAATAAAATAAAAACAAACAAATGAACGAATGAAAAAAAAAAAAAAAAAGAAAAAAAAGTACTTTGACGTGCCAGTTGTATAGGTACCAGGTATGCTCCTGATGGTGTCTTTTTGCAATGTTACGGTCTTGCGTGTGTATGCGCTACATGGCTGTGGCCTCCCCATACGAGAGGCGCGTCTGTGATGCTCCGCTCTTATAATGCATTTAGCCCCGGTAGGTATAGGTGAATAGATACTTGGAACAAAACAGCGGCCACATACTGTATAATATATGCGGTACACGAGGCCTTGTATACACATTTCCGTATACGTAACGATTACACTTTATAACGTTCGCGCACAAGCGGCTATAGTTGAGTAAACATAATGTATGCAAGTGTATTGCACTTGAGCGGCGATGGTTTTTCCGTGATACCTCGTCCCGGCATTCATAACAATAGACGGAACGATGCACGCGGTGCAGCCGGCAACTATACTAATGCAAAGGTGCTCTCTCTCTCTCTCCCCCCCATCTAAAATAGGTTGCAGCCGCAACCAGGGGCTTCGGAGAAATGCGGGAGTATAATTACGTATGCACGATAGACACAATTATCCATCCATCCCGCATAATGCAGCTTCCTCCGTAACCGGGGGGGAGACAATACAACGATACAATTTAACCGGCATTTAGTAATGGTACATGTATTATATATATTTACGTGTAATCAATGTATGCCATTTCACGAGGCCCTTGGCTGGATATTTTTTACGTGCAAAAATAGGCTCACCCTTTCATTTCAAAGATGAGTACCGAGATCTGCCCGTGTATGCGTATATATCTTTTTCGTTCGCGCTCGAGGGAGGAGAGAATATATAAGTGTGGCTTTGAATTAGGATCAGCCTCGCGAGGAGGATCCGATGCTCAAGGAGAGAAAATTAATTCTCACCTCGCGTCTCGCGGTGCTTGGCAATTTCGTGATTAAAGCGCAGGAAAGAAAGTCACTGGGGGCCGACCCAAGCTCCTTATAAGCCCTCTCTCACTGTCGAGTCTATGAATTTTCAACGAGCGATGCTCGCTTGACTTTGTTTTTTTTTTTTTTTTTTTTTTTAATCCTCGACTTATTTTTCAATATCCTTTCTGCCGGAAAATTTGTCCCTATACTTAATTTTAATGAATTCCAAGAACCTTATTCTGTCGAAAAGGTACGTTTTTTTTACGTTTATTGCTTCTGCCTCGTCGTAAAAAGCAATAAGAACGGAAAATATAATGCTGGGATATCGTGATTTTACCTCACTATGAGTGAGCCCAAATTTTTTTTTTTTTTATCCTCTTTAATTTTACTTCTGCGTGACCTACTGTCCGTTTAAATTTGAATCAAAAACATTATCATCGGACAGTCGAAATTTTTTATGTGATTTTTAAAATCTCAAATGAAAAAAAAAAGAATAACTGAAAATTGGTGCAGATTTTATTTGAAGTACAATAGCGTGATGGACGGAATATCAATCTGAAAGGTTGACCGACAAAAAGAATTAAAATCAAACTAAAACGTTGATTCCATCGGAACGAATTTTTACGAGTTATTTTTGTAGGCGAAAAACTTAATTTTTCATTCAAATAATTTGACGAAAAACAAAATGTTTATTTTGCACGTATATCGAAACTCGAATGTCGGCCAAAGGGTTTTTTTTTTTTTTTTTTTTTTTTTTTTTTTTTTTTTTTTATGTAAACAAAGCAAGCCAGAAAATACATCCGTGAAATTTCAGATACTCCATCAAAAACACATAAAATACACAAGACTACGTTATCACTGCTTCAAATAATATTTTGCATCGTGTGCAAATATCGTATTGCAATTTCTATTTTGTACTTGTTGGCGTTTTTATTCATTTGCATTTTATTTCCAACCGATGGACAAGCTGCATGACTTAACAGCTACGAAAACTTACGTGAACCGTTTTTTTTTCTTTTTTTTTTTTTTTTCACATTTCTCTGCAAATCGATGAATAACAGTAATTACAATACGGCTAATAATTGTAATAACGTAGCGATAAAAGGGAACCACATCGAGTTGATGAGAAAAAAAAGGCCGTGGTAATAAAATGATGTGAAAGAAAAGATTATCTATTATGTATGAGGAAGAAAAAGCGCCAGAGAGGAGGAGAGAGAGAGAGAGGAAGGAAGGAAGGAAGGGAGAAAACGCGTATAAAAGCTCCCTGTTCATACCTGGGACCGAGTATATAACAAAGGCCGAGGATTGGTACAGCAACGCTTGGAGGGGGGGGGAGGGGGTGGCGCAACAGTTTACGCATTGTAGTCTCGCGTGTATATACATATATACAAGCTGAATGCGTCCACTGGAGGAGAAGTAAAACATTGCCGCATCGCGGGAGAATAAAAAAAGAGGAGGGCGCGCACACGAATCCCTGCCCGCGTAAAAGCTCGCGACGAGAGATGCCTACTTGTTGCCCGCTCTCGATCCTCTTTTTTTCTCTACCTATACATGTTATACTTTCAACTGGTCCTTTCTGAGCCTCCTCATCCGTTCGCATCGGACTGTACTGCTATTTCGAGATTGTCTTTTTTTTTTTTTTTCTTTTTTTTTTCATAAATACCCTATTGGCTTTTAGTTTTTTCATCCATGCATTTTTTTCGTACGGATACCGAGCTCATTTTTTACGATCAACCTACCTCCCCCAATAAATTGCGAAACTACTGATTCCGCGCAGTGATTTTCGTTTTGGGTTGCGATTTAGGTATAATGATTGATCAATTAATACCCTTAAATTACACTCACATCATACGTGTCCTACGGTTTGATCTTAGCCGTTATGTTGGTTGGACAAAAAAATATCTTGAAAAAGCAATCGGTATCGAACGAATTTTTCGATTTAATAAAACGAAGGCGCATTTAAAAAGCTTTATATGAAAAACTCCCGAGCAAGTATGACTCGAGCGGGTCAGAAAAATATAAATTGCCACTCGAAATGTATCGGAATCCTCATTTACCGATAAAGTTATCAGGTCTACGAAAGCACGGACGTATACTTGCAAAGATAAGTGAAACGGTGAATTTTTACTTGAATCTTCCCAAACTCATTGTAAGGATGTTGTACCACCTAATCCGTTTTTACCGCAAAATCCAAGTGCCGTACCGGTCGCGCGATCGCATCAGCGATGGTTCATCGAGCATTCGGCCACCTATTCAATAGTAATGGAGCACAGGTATGAGAAAAAAAAAGGGGGGGGGGGGAGAAAAATGCTTGATCTAGTTTTTGAGTCAAGTTACAAGTGTGTACAGATATACCACGAGTGTGTCTCGCATCGGGTCGTTCCGCAGCCGCTCTCGTGTAAAAGTAAGGAGAGAAGCCGGCATTTGCCCGCGAGATAATGGATCCCGCCCTTCCACCACCACTACGACTCTCCCCGTGTACACACATCCACATGTATACTGTTCTTTGTATTCTGCCCTCTTTAACTTTGCTGCTTTTTGCCGATATACTATACGACCGCGGGAGCCCCGACAGCTCCGCCTCTGTTCTGGCTGCAAACCATACCTATACATTATTTTCTGCAGGTTCTCCATACAGCCATTCTTACAGTTTGGCATGTAGCAGCCGCAGGTTTTTCGGGCAAACTCGGAGCTTTTGGTAATACCACCATCAGCAAACGTGTACACAATTGTCTGGTCCAAGACAAGTGAATTGACAAAAACAAGCGACTCACCCCCGGCAGAGCGTTACAAGGGGGGTGGGGAAAAAAAAAAAAAAAAAAGAAAAGCTCGGATGGAGTGACTTTTTTCCCCACAGAGTTTGAGCTGCCCGGCGTCCGGTGACGTGGGTGGGAAGCCGGCTGATCGACGCGTTGAATTATTTAGACGGGAGGTACCCGTATACCTCCCCTCGGCAGCTCGTTGCGTCCATTCACGCCTATTTCGGGCTCATTGTGCTCCCGCGAGCCCCGGCATTCATCCCCGCTTTTCATAGCCCGTCGCCCTCCCTCCTCCTCGTCTTTACTCGCGAAACGTATATGTACACGGCGTCGCGGATAAAACTCTGCCGTTGACACGAAACTACGGGGATGACCCGCGCGAGCGGATAAAACAACCACGTCCCCTGATTAGGGGCGGTTGATAAATGTTACTTTGGGGGCGAAAAAGTCAGATCCCGCGCACATAATAAATATATGGGTGGATATGCCTCGATCGGCCACGTCCGCTAATGACATACGCGGTTTTTGCCGGTCGGCTGTACCATCAGGAAGCTGCGCAAGCAGCAGGAGCGCTTCTGCCGTTACGTGTACGACAAGGTGCTCGTGCCCGAGTGCGTGACCCAGTTGAACGACAGCAGTGGCTGGCCGGGCAACGACCAGGACCACGACTACGCGGATTTGTTCGGCGATTGGTTGGCCGGTATCAACGCCACCAACGTCACCGGGCTCTCCTCCTCCTCCTCGTCCAACGCAACGGCCTTTGATTCCCAGGATGGTAATGTACTTTCTCGTTTGTTCGATTGCCTATGTATAATTGCGTTGAAAAAACGAGTCGAAATCAGCTGAAGTGAAACTGTCCCGCGCAGAGAACATCCTGAAGCCGGTCCTGCCGCCGTTCGAGCCGTGGGTCGCTGTCCTGATAGCCCTGACTCTGGGCATTTGCATCGTACTGACCGTGGCCGGCAACATCCTCGTACTGTTGGCCTTTATCGTCGACAGGACCATCAGGCAGCCGAGCAACTACTTTATCGCCTCGCTCGCTGCCACCGACATGCTCATCGGTAGATACACACAAACTATTCCCAAGATAAAAAAAAAAAAAAAGCCACGTATACGCGTGTGTTCTTATCCACACACGTTTATTTTTGAACTTGAGGTTTGTTACCGATTAAACACGCGCAAATTTCCATTGTTATCAGTCTCCATATTTAACCATAACGGACGCGTAACGGCATCACTATGCTCTATTAATTATACTATAGCTGTACGTATATGTGTATATATATCTTAAAATGTATGTATCTATGTGTGTTTTGCACGTGTACAAGGTACGGTCTCGATGCCATTTTTCACGGTGTACGTGCTAATGGGCTACTGGGATCTCGGACCCCTGCTCTGCGATCTTTGGCTCTCGGTCGACTACACGGTTTGCCTAGTGTCCCAGTACACGGTACTCCTGATAACCATCGATAGATTTTGCTCGGTAAAAATAGCGGCCAAGTATCGAAGCTGGCGCACCAAGAACCGCGTCATCTGGATGGTCACGATAACCTGGATCATACCCGCCCTACTGTTCTTCATCAGCATATTCGGTTGGGAGCACTTTGTCGGCTTTCGCGATCTAGCCCCCGGCCAATGCGCCGTGCAATTTTTGAAAGACCCCGTGTTCAACACCGCCCTCATAATCGGCTACTACTGGACGACCCTCGTAGTCCTCTTCGTACTGTACGGGGGTATATACAAGACGGCCTACGACATGCAGAAGAAGAGCGAGGCCAAGCAGCGCAAGATGCAATCGATGGTGGCACTGAGCGCGGGTGCCATGACCGGTATGGCTGGCAGGGCCGCGGGTATCGGTATTACCGGCACAACTGCCGCGGCCAGGGCCCTGCAAACGCAACAGCGGGACGCTACTGGTGGAACGAGAACCGGGACCATGGCCACGGCTTCGGACAGCCGCAGCTGCACCGACGCCAAGGAGACGACCCTCCTCCTCCTCCAACCACCGACTCGCCAATCCCACCCGACCAAGGTCTTTTATACACCCACACACACGTGCCTACCACCACATGTAGATTATTTATATGTACGTAGGTAAAATGCGTGTCCTCGTTTGCAGTCGCAGCTGGATGCGGCGGTGGAGGCGGAAAAGTCGGAGCGCTCGAGCAGCCCGATCTTCGACTCGGACGAGGAGAACGCCGCCACGACGGCCCAGCAGCAGCCGCAGGAGCAGCAACTCGGCAACTTGCGCCAACGTTCCTCCCTCGCCGGACTGGTCGCCCAGTCGGGGGTCGCCCTGCACGTTTTTGCGACCAACGGCCGCGCCAACGGTGGTCTGCCCATCAAGGTGGAGATGAATAACCTGCCCGTGGCCGTTGTCGTCGCCGCGGCCAGCCGATCCTCCCCCACCAGTCCAAGTTCCGAGCACGTCGTGCAGACTCAAAAGCCGCTGCCCCGTATACAGGAGATTGCCGGACAGACGCTCGTGGCGGAAAACAAGTCCAGCCAGGGTGAGTTGGGTTTTACGTTGTATGTACGTTGTACGTACATATGTGCACCTATTGTATAATTTGGTCTTGTTCCCGATGCCCACCAAATACCAGGGAGCAGCGTGACCCTGACCCCGGGCCAGTCGTTGCACTCCCTGGAGGCCGGCAATAAGACCCTGGTCGAAGAAGATGAGTCCACCGAGCAGCGGAAGCTGCCACAAACGGCCACCACGAAGGACTCGACGTCCTCGAGTTCGCACATCATCCCGCCACCGTCCGAGTTTCGGGGTAGCCCGGCCGCGTCGGAGAACAACACCTCGTCGGCGACGTCGTCGCTGGGGGCGGAGCAGCGCCGAGGACTGCTGGTGACGGCCGACGGGCAGTACGCGACCTACGACATAATGACGGGCCTCGACGGCGCCGATTTCCGTTACATGGACGAGAGCTCGGTTATCGTGCCGAGTCCCTCGTACGAGAGCCCGCCCTCCTCGTTCTCCTGCAGTCTGGCCAACCCGCTCTCCACGACCCCGTCCTCGCCCCTCCTGGGCGTCCCCGCCGGCCTCAACACCAGCCTCCTGCAGGCGGCCCTCATTCGCGCCACCGCCCAATCCACGGGTACCACTACCGGCCAAAAGTAAGCTATATATATATATATTAGACATCCGTACACGAAGCAAGGGTATATATAAATTGTCCTGTCTCCAGGGGCGGGGGGGTCGTCGCCACGGTGAACGCGTCGAGCCAAACGCTGCCGCCCCGGGTGTTTATAACGCATCAGAGCAACGCGGCCTCCCAGACCTCGCCGCTCGTCGTCAGCAAGCTCAACACGGAGGTTACCGTGCGCCCGGAGGACGCGACCCGCAAACAACCCGTGACCAGCATAGTGCCGACCACGGGCACGCCACCCCAGGTGCCCGAGCACCAACACCAACAGTCCCCCTTGACGACGAGCGGGCAGCAGCAGAGGCAACAGTTCGGTAGTAACCTGCTGGTGGCCTGTGCCACCTCGTCGTCGAGTGGCGCCTTGCCGAGCACCTCGGGAGCGACGACCGTCGTCACGCAAGGCCAACCGGCGTCCAAGGTGGGTTTTGAAACTTTAATGTCACGTTGGCACGCGCCTACACGTGTCGTGTATTATAAAATATATAGCTGCACGCTTCGTGTCATCCTTTGACGTAATTTGGGCAATCGTGACATGAAACTACGAAAGAAGAAAAAAAGAAAGAAAAAAA